TAAGATCAAAGCTAACTCGACCCCATGGATATGAATTGAACACACTTTTTTTGGACGCCATCTTTAGCCAATGAGTTTCTATCTTCTTTTCTGCACTTTTTGAACACAATACACAATGCAAAAACCAAACCATACTAATAGCAAGCTTTTGCTTTTTGGTTAAGCATGGATCACTCATCTTTTCTATGAGTACAACAGCATTTGCAGATTGACCCACCAGATCAACCAAAATTTCACCTTCTTTTCCAATTTTCGCTAATTGTTGACTTAGAGGAGGTAGGGAATGACACCGAAGTCCAGTCATAATAGCGAATTCATTAATGCCAAAACAAATAGGCAAACCATTATAATCAATCCAAACCTCTTTCAACTACTAATATTATGTAGATATAATCTTACTTGTTATTTTGTCTGATAAATAGGATCAATATTTGTCTTGTAAGCAGGTGTTCCAGCCATCCATTTAATCATTCTTGGAATTGATTTTTCAGGTGAAGAATCCTTGGCCAATCGTTGAAGTGCCGGAATAGCTTCAAACGCCCAAGCCTACAATATAATATTAAAAATAGCTTAGTATAGATAATAAAGTCAAATAATAATTTAACTAAAAATTATAAAATAAAAACATCAATTTAATTACTTACGGCGAACGCCCACGAACATCCATGAAGATTATACTGAGATTTGGTTGAATATAGCTCTTTCAAAAAATAGCTAATGGTAAGATCAAAGCTAACTCGACCCCATGGATATGAATTGAACACACTTTTTTTGGACGCCATCTTTAGCCAATGAGTTTCTATCTTCTTTTCTGCACTTTCGTTGCTATTTTCATCACTTTTTTCTTCACCTGATAGGTCACTGTTATTCTTACTATTTTTTTCATCACTTTTTTCTTCTCCAGATGGTTGTCCACCGATACTTTGAAGTGTTGTGGTACCTCTTTTTCTAGCAGCAGTTAAGCTCTCAGCATTTTCTTTAGCATTTGGATTGGATGAAGATGTTCCAGTTCTCTTCCTCTTATATTGAAGCATTATAACTACACTAAAATAGTTAAAAGTTAGTAAATAGTAAGAAATTAACTGAATATGATCAACAAAAAAGGAGCAATAGTGGTACATTATAGATCAATAATTAAATTATTTGTCCTACAACTAATCAGTTGACCAACAATTAAACACAATTGTCTAACAACTGCAGTAGTTGTCCAAACAATTACTTAAGTTGTTGGCTGAAACAACTAAATTGAATTTCACTAAAACCCAGCTGAAGAATGGACACAAAATATTTTTTATACTTATCAAAAATGCTCTTTTGAGTTAATTTCAAGTTCAAACGGAATAAATATAATGTAAAAAACAAAAATATAATAGCAAGATGATGATGATTTTCTCTTTATTAAACCCTAATCTTATCCTTTGAAAATAGAAAAGAGAAGAAAAATTTACCTTGTATTAGAAGCTACTGATTGAAAAGAAAAACACAACAAAACTCAAAGAAGATTTGATGATTTTGAAGATGAAGAAGAAATATTTTTTTTGAAAAAAAAAGTCCCGTTCTTGGAGATTCCCCTGTAACTTCAGTTTTAAAAAGAAAATTGAATAAGTTAAAAGGTTTTTTCCATTCTTAATATGCTTCACAATTTAAAAATAAAAGCCTCCTAAGTTTTAAAAAATACTAATTTGGTCCAATATATTAATTAAGAGTTAATTAAATTGAGGAAGAGATGAAGAGGTCCCCACTTGTCCCTTTTTTTTAATTGGAGACTTGTGAGGCATTCTTACCTCATTTTTCCTTTTTTAGACCCTTATCCATATTTGTCCAAATCAACTTTGAGGACCGTTTCATTGTTGATACTTGTCCAAGGTAGCTTTGTGGACCGTTTCATTGTTAAAATTGTATTTTTTTGGGAAGTCATACTTTCAAAATGACATAATTTTAAATTTATGTCGTCATACCTTTCAAAATGACATCATTTTAAATTTAGCATAATTTTAAATTTATGTCGTCATACCTTTCAAAATGACATCATTTTAAATTTAGGTGTCATACCTTTCAAAATGACATCTTTTAAAAATTAATTGGTTATCTCAAATAAAATTATCTTTTTAAATTGGGTAGGCATACCCTTCAAAATGACACATTTTAAAGTTGATTTGTTATTTTAGATATTTTTCTTTTTAAAAAATGGTTTATCATTCCATTCAAAATGATTCTCTTTTGTAAGTTAAATTGTCATACCGTTCAAAATGACACTGTTTAATTTGTTATTCCATTCAAATTTCTTTTCTTTTCTTTTCGGGATGTTATTATTTCAAAATGTTGCATTGGTTCATCACCTTGTTCATTGTTCATACCAGGCCATGTTTGCATAATTTATGTTGCATTTATGTTACATTTGTTACTAACAATTGTGTTTTTAGATTGTGTTATATTCAAGTTGGGTCATCCACCTTTCAAAGAGACAAATTGGGTTGTCACATCCCTTCAAATGACATATTAAGTTCAGATTGGGTTGTCACATCCCTTCAAGTGACATATTAAGTTTAATATTGGGTTGTCATCTCTCTTCAAATGACATGTTAAATTCAAATTGGGTCGTCCGCCTTTCAAAGAGACATGTTGGGTTGTCATATCCCTTCAAGTGACATATTAGATTCAAAATTGGGTCGTCTGCCTTTCAAGAGACACGTTGGATTGTCACCTCGTTCAAAGTGACATATCACCTTCAAATTGGGTCGTCTGCCTTTAAGGAGACACGTTGACTTTTTGCTTCCCTCTAAGTGACATGTCAAGTTCAAGTTGATTCGTCTGCCTTCAAAGAGACATGTTGGGTTGTCACCTCGTTCAAAGTGACATGTTAAGTTTAATATTGGGTCGTTCGCCTTTAAAGAGACATGCTGGGTTGTCACCTCCCTCAAAGTGACATGTTAAGTTCAAGTTGGTTCATCCACCTTTAAAGAGACACGTTGGGCTGTCACCTCGTTCAAAGTGACATGTTAAGTTCAAGATTGGATCGTCCGCCTTTAAATAGACACATTGAGTTGTCGTCTCCCTCAAAGTGACATATTATATTCAAGTTGAGTCGTCCGCTTTTAAAGAGACACGTTGGGTTGTCACCTTCCTCTAAGTGGCATGTTAAGTTCAAGTTGGGTCGTCTGCCTTTAAAGAGACATATTGGATTGTTACCTCCCTCTAAGTGGCATGTTAAGTTCAAGTTGGGACGTCCACCTTTAAAGAGACATATTGGGTTGTCACTTCCCTCTAAGTGGCACGTTAAGTTCAAAATTGGGTCGTCTGCCTTTCAATAGACACGTTGGGTTGTCACTTCCCTCTAAGTGGCACGCTGAGTTCAAGTTGGGTCATCGCCTGCCTTTCAAAAGACAAGTTAAGTTGTCACCTCGTTCAAAGTGACATGTTATTCACATCGTCTTCCTCTCAAAGAGGTACACTACTTTCGCTGTGCAATTTTGGAAGTAGCATCGAAGGTATGTGAATGTTTTCAATTTACAATCAGTCCTTGCCTTTTGTTTATTATTTTCAGCCCCATCGATATGTGAATGTTTTCAATTTACAATCAGTCCTTGCCTTTTGTTTATTATTTTCAGCCCCGTTGGCGGATGTAGAGTATTGTTCGAAATCTCTACTAATGTCTTATATTGTTTTGTTCAAAGTTTATCAAACCAAATTTGTGTTCGTCAACTTTGTTTGACCAAGATCTCTTTCATCGATCCTAATCAAACAAAGGGGCAAGTCGTTGACACCAAATTTTGGTATGATATTTTTAAAGTTAATACTTGTAAGTATTTTATTTGTTAAATAGTTCAAAATACATGTTTTGCAATTTAAATGCAATTTGTTGATAATTATCCTTATTTCTCAAAATATTAGGATTTTTATCGGTTAATTTTGTTTACATTATTTTTATCACAATTAGTTGAATATGTTGTGATTAAATCATCATTTTTTGTTAAATTGCATTTTTACATGTCATTTATTTTTGCATTTATTAATATTCATTTTATTCATTACATTTTGTTAATATTCATTTGGTGTTTTTAGCACAGTCTAGAAATACATTTAAATATGGATAAGATTTAAATACACAGATATTTTATTAATCGGTGGTTTTAGCCTACGATTTTAAGGTAATGGTATTGTACTAAGACGGTTTTCAATTTTCTATTTAAACAATTGCTTGATCATTAAGTTAGTGGTGGTGGATATTTTTCCAATGGTGTGATTAATTCTTTTGTGTGTTACAACAAATAACTTTTTTCTCATGTACCTTTGGGTTCCATTAGCGGGTATGTTCCATTTTCATCTAGTCATGCTTCATCTCAAAGAAGCCAAAGTAGGCGGCCGTATGACTTGAAAATCACAACCTCTTTTACTGAAAGTAATTAAAAAAAAAATTTATAACTCTTGGTCGTCAATTGACGTACTGCAATTACAGACTAGTGCACACACGATCTCTCTTTATATATATATGTATATTATTTTTCTGTGTTTTAATTAATTAATTAATAGATTATGCTCAAATAAATATAATTAATAACATATAAAAATGTAATTTAATGAAAAATGATGGTTTAAACTAACTAAACAACATTTTATATTCAATGGACTGTGAAAAAAACATAATAATCAAAATTAACCAAAATTCAAAATAAAATGATAAAAATCATAATATTTTGAAAAATAAATACAATTATCGATAAATTATATTAAAATTGCAAAAAATATATTTTAATCTATTTAACTAATAAAAAGCTTAAAAATATTAACTTTAAAAAAGTCAGGTTAAAAATGGGTGTCAACAACTGTCCCTTTCTTTAGATAGAATCGATAAAAGAGATCGTGTACAAAGAAAATTGACGAATACAATAACTGAACACATGACCTTCAAATAGGAGTGTGCTTTGATTGTGGGGTGGAAGTTACTCTTCAACTCGCTTTCAAAAAATTCTACATTGTGTTGTGTCCTTGTTGATGTAGTTTGCATGCACTTGTGGCATAATCAAGAATGCATCCTCTTGGTTGTTCTAAAAAAAACTAAGATAAAACTCATTAATAGAGACAAAATTAATAAAAAGAGATAGGACAAGGCACAAGTACCCCCCCCCAGACTATGACCGAAATCACAGAGACACATCTTAACTAAATGAATGTCCTATTACCCCCCTGAATCCATTTTGTTTTTTGTAATTTTGTACACCTTTTTTGTAACACCTCAGATTCGAGAAAATGGAAAAATGCAGCTTTCCAGGATCTGGTGTCAGAACCAACGGAAACCACCAATGGACCGTGTGTTAGACCACAGAACGTAGGTGGGGTCTCGTTGTTGCGTTCCAGACTTAGGGATCTCTGATCTCACCCATGACCGACCAGTAGGGTCCGTGGTGGGACATACGAACCGTAGGTCTGGCTGTAGGTGAGGGTCGGTAGCTATTTAAAGGAAAATGGCTTTTGGGTCAACTTCAAACGATCATATCTTTTTGCAAAAGATGAATTAGGTGGCCATTGACTTATAAAATTAAAGATAATTGTATCATCTTTCCAACACCACCGAGTTTGCTAAAATCCAAGCTCGGAGTAAAAGGTTATGCTCGTTTTAGTGAAGCCCTGTCAGGCAGACCACGAACCACGACCAGTTTGACGGGCTGTGGTTCAAACGATGGCCCGTCAATCCCCCCGTGAGTGGCACTTCTTCAACTTTAAGTTGGGGTAGTTTTTGTCCTTTCCCTATGCATTGGGGAACTTAAACTACGTCGTTTGATGCCTAAACTACATCGTTTTACTCAGTCTAAGCCTACTAATCTAGTCAGACAACCCAAAACCCTCATTCTCCAAAAAATCATCCAAGTTTGAGCGAAAAGAAGAAAAAGAGGCGCAAGTTTCTTTCAAGAACAAACAGAACTGTTCTTTGAGGTTCAGTCCCGAAATCTAAAGGATTTCTCCGTAGATTTCGTCACCAAGTATGCGGGATTTCACTAGTGAAGTCCTTTCATCAATTAGGTCCCTAGAATTCAGTCACTTCCTTGATTCTTCATATCT